GACAATAAGACTTCTCTCACCGTGGCCGTAGTTTGTCCAAACTCTCGCTGAAGTGGTTGTTGAGAAACAGATCCAAGGCCTCCATGCATTCATCAAGACAGACCTGTAGGGACATCTGTCTGGACCTGATCTCACACACACACACACACACACACAATGAGCAGAAGTCATACACTTCATTTTCTTTATATAGACTAAAGTTAATTCTAGTGACCACATTAGACTATTATTAGTGGTCATTATGGATTTTTTCCAGTAGCTAGAGAGCAAGTTTTTCAATGACAAATATAATGCAGATAAATATATTAATTTATGATGTAATAACGTCGAGTGATAGCAAAGAGATATGCAATCAATATCTCACAATATAAGAACATAATTCAAAATGCACACAAGGATATAAAAAAATTGAGAAAAGTAACAACTGACTTTAAAATAAATAAAGCTTTAAAATAAATAAACTCATATATACACTTACATACATACAAATAGCCTATACACACATTATATATATATACAGTATATATATAATTTTAATAAACCAAAATAATAAATAAGTAAATTAATAACAAATAAATACATAAATTATTCAGATAAAATTATTTTATAATGTTATATATAATATAAAATTAATTACTTTTATCATTAGTTTTATAATTATGCATTGTAAAAGTTTTTTTTTAATTTAAAATAAACTGTTTGAAAAATGTGTCAATTATTAAAGCTTTAAATTAAAAAAATAAGATAAAATGTGTGTGTGTGTGTGTGCTTAAAAAGTTTATCAATTAACAAAGTAACAAAATAAATAAAAGTAAATAATTTACAGAAAACTAAGCAATTATATTTTATTAAAGCTGGGTTTATCATATTTATCGGTCTTCTGTGGACAACTTTGCTCCAAAACTCCCCAAGTGAAGTAAACCCACACAAACACAAGCAAAGCCACTTGGTGAAATGAATGACATTTACTACTAAATACCAAGACACCATTCAGACCTGTCAGCGGCGCCCTTTATAAATTATGAACGCTACCTGATGCAGAGTTTTTCAGCACATGACCACTGAAGATATATTTAGCAGGACTAATTAATGTCAACTGGTTGATCCTGCTTTTAGATTAAAGAGCAGATATACATTCATTTGCTCTCAAAGTGAGACATACGGCCCTCTGGCACCTGTTGCTTATGAAATTTACAAACTAACCAACATGCATTTGCCTAAATACACATGCATCCTGTTAGAGATGCAAAAACAATTGGTTTAAAGCAATTGCATGACTTTACAAGTCATTTAAAGGTATCTCTAACCTTTAACTCTCTCAAGCTGCAATGACATGTACAAACACAAATGCAATGCAGAATATGGCTCACACACTTTGTCACTAGTCAAGGTGTTTGATGTTTGCTTGGAGTACACACTGGGCATGGACAGCCAGCGCCTTTGGATAAGCACGTCACAATGCACTGCGAATGATTTCACTTTAACAACATTAAGAGCACATTTCTAAGCTTTCTAAAGCCTTATATTCAGGGATAGCATGTAATTCTCTCACTGAGAACACGAGCTGAGCTCAAACCAGACTCTTTTGCAAAACAAGGAAGGAAGAGATGTGAAAACTTGACTTGAGGAGAAACAAAAACTGCCCAAACTAAACACAGACTCACTGAATCAGCCATTTAAAGACGCACAGAACCACAAAGCATGAACGTTTTCAGTTATGCTGAGTAGCAGAAACTCGAAAAGGCACAGCACTGATGCAACACTTTAAAAATAAACATTAAACAAGCCATCAACGACTCACTTTTCTGTAGCAGGTGCATTTTTCCCAGTGGACATGGTGTATTTTGTTGTCCTCTTCTGGGCCTTGTGGCCACACACACACACACACACACACACCGTGAAGAGCTTTCTCTCAGAGCTCCTGTGGAAAGTCACTCTCACTGCGCGTGAAGATGCTGCATGGATGAGGACTGCTGGAGAACTCGAGCTGGCAGGGAATATGGATCAGTGTTCGGCTCAATCACGAGTGTGTGTGTGTGTGTGTGTGTGTGTGATGAGGACTCCTCCTCGAGCTCACAGCAGGTTTGATGGCAGGAGACCAGAGCGAAGGGACAGGAGTTAGTAGCGCCATCTAGTGCTGGGGTGAAGAACGAGTTATATGTTTGTATGTAGGCTTGATTTATAGGTGCATCTCAATAAATTAGAATGTCGTGGAAAAGTTCATTTATTTCAGTAATTCAACTCAAATTGTGAAACTCGTGTATTAAATAAATTCAATGCACACAGACTGAAGTAGTTTAAGTCTTTGGTTCTTTTAATTGTGATGATTTTGGCTCACATTTAACAAAAACCCACCAATTCGCTATCTCAACAAATTAGAATACTTCATAAGACCAATAAAAAAACATTTTTAGTGAATTGTT